GAGAGAGAGAGAGAGAGAGAGAGAGAGAGAGAGAGAGAGAGAGAGAGAGAGAGAGAATGTCCCTAGCTTTTCCAGTGTTCAATTTAAGTGTGGTCATAGCTGGGAGGTTGATTTACACCAGAAATGTAGAGAGGAACTGCAATGGTATTAATTAAGCACCACATTAAGCAAACTGGGGGCATGCAAAAGTACCCTTTAAAAGAACCGCTGTATATCCACAGCTTGTATTCAAAAAGGGACAGTGCAGGTTTAGGATGTAACCTCCTAACATCTGGGCAGATGTGATGAATCCAAGAAAGTCATTCCCACAGGAAAAGGAGAGAAAAGTGTGAAATGCGTGCAAGCATTTTCATAGATTCAATCCTTTCTAAAGTCAGACTACCAAAAAAGGATGTCACAGAAAATGCTGTTTAGTTAAAATAAGATTGCCAAAGGGGTTCCTGTCACTCCACACCCATCTTCCCAAACAGAGGCTACCTGCAAATTCTACTAGATTATAAACAAGTCATCATGGCAGCCCCAGCCTTGAACAGTGTCCGGTGTGTACAAGCAAATCTTGCAGACAGTTCCTTCTTTTTGTATCATCTGGACTCGTAGATAGCTACCCAAAGCGCCTGCGCCAGCCACCCCTCTCCTGTGTCTACTTACCCTCTGTCACCGAGTATCAGAAGTGTGTGTGTGTAAACCCCATCTCCAGGCACAGCACACACCTTCTACGTCTCATTCCTCAGCCAGTGTGAACTCTTCACTGTATTTTCATTTGCTTTCTCGTTTATTTGACCAGACAGTATCAAATATCTCTTAAGTTCCAGGCATTGGGACAGTAAATGGCATCTGTGAACCCTGCCTTTGAGGGACTAGAGCCCAACATTCTACACTGATAAGCTTCAGAGTGTGATCAACGTTAAGCTACAGAAAATACAAAGTATTGTGAGAACACACTTAAGAGGGTACACCTAAGGTGTCAGTGGGGACTCCCTGAAGGCTGAGACCTGTAGGCCCCTGGATGTGTAGGGACAGGTCAAAGTTATCTTCTAAGCTATTCCTAGATGCGTGAGAATATTGTCTGATAGTAAAAGACCTTTAACATATTCTCCTAGTTCAATTAAGTCCATTTCTGACACATTTTGCTTGACAGTCTTGCTGCTCTGGTTGCAATGTTATTTTTTATAAGTAAAATCATTATTTATCATTACTCTCCCGCCCCCCCTTTTTTTTTTGCTTTTAAGCTTTTAAGCGTTTATCAGTGGAGATTTATGCAAATGAGCCTCATAGAGACTTATTAAATAATTATCAGTTTTCAAGTAGCAAAAACGTACATTGTAAAAGCCTACACACCCTGCCAGCTGAACTATTTAAAACCCCCCACAGCTTGATGCGAGACTTTAAAAGGTGGACATTTACAATACTGACTAAACTGTCCTTCATCCCTCCTGGCTGAAGGTCCCTTTTTTCCATTGTTACAGCCTGTGGAGTCACTTCAGAGTTACCCTTGTCTGTGCTGTCCCTCTAAATCTGTGCATAACAAGTGGCCGGGGAGTCATCTCTGAAGGCTGCTTACTCAGCTGCATTTTTCCTCCTGACATTGCGAGATGGGTGCTGGGCCTTCACTGTCCGGATGAGGAAGCTGGGCAGAGCACAGGCACTCCTGACGGCCTTGTACTTGGTTTCACTGAGCTCTCCGTCTTGCACCCTTCACTGTCTTCTTCCTTGTTTGTGCCTTCAGAGTTCTGATTAATGTCACCTCTACCATGCATTCTTGTCTACACACTTCATAATCGATGACACCAGTGACAAGGAGCAAGCAAAGTCTTTCCTCATTAAACAAGAGCGACCTTCCTCAGCCTTCCCCCACCCCCTCCGGATCCATTCCTGGGCCATGCAGGACGGCATGAGACCCTGTCTCCAGACAAACTAACTAAATAAATAAAATGAGTATAATTTCATACAAAAACAAGTACCCTTGGGTGAGCATCATTCTAACAACAAAGCAGTGCAGAGGAAAGTGCCAGCGAGTATTTCTTATGAAAATGGAGGTAAGAATCCTCAAAAAGTATCTGAAGATGTGACTTGTGATAAAGTATGTCCTTAAACATGAACCTGGTACTCCATTTGATCTTCAGCACCAGAAAAAATAAAATAAAAGAACAGAATATTAGAGTTCAATAAATCCATAAAAAGAATCTTATATCTAATTAGAATCTAATCAAATTAGGATTCCTTGATATTGGAAAGTTTTTACTGTCATATCATCTTGACAAGTCAAGGAGGCAAACTCACATGATCCTGTTAACAGATGCAGAGAAAGTTAGACAAAACTTAACAGCCATGCATGGGAGAAGCGCTCGGTGAAGCAGGTGTTAGGACTCCAGTGTGAGTGCCCAGGCTGTGGGTTTGAGCACTCTGTCTGCAGCTGGCCCTCTGTTGGAGGACTGTGGAACCTTGGGGTGGGCTACAGAGAAAGCTGGCTGTTCCCACCAGAGCAGGAAAAGGTAGAGATGTCTATGGTGATGTTTTATTTGTGCTGAAATGTGATTTTATTTGTATGTTAATAAATAAAGTTACCTGGGGGTCAGAGATCATAGCCAGCCATAAACAAAAGTCCAGCAGTGGTAGCACACACCCTTACTCCTGATCACATGACAGGCAGAGTCTGTGTGTTCAAGGATACCACCAGCATGGAGACACACGCCTTTAATCTCAATACCAACCATAGAGACCTAGAGGTCTGTACAGACAGGCAGTGACGAGAAGGTCATGTGGTTGGGTTTACAACCAATGAGAAGGCAGAACAGAAAGTCAATAAAAAGACAGACACACAGGAAGTAGGCCTCTTTTGGAGGGGAAAGGCAGCAGTGGCAGGAAGGGTAAGAAAGTGTTTTAAGTCTCAGCTCTCAGCTACTGTTCTGACCTCTTGGGCTTTTAACTCTGCATTTGGCTCTGTTTCTTATTTAATAAGACCATTACATCTACAGATATCTTCTTTCATTTCCGGTTTTTACCACAATTCTATAAGTTCTAGATCATGTAATCATCCTAAAAATAAAAAATAAAGGATGTTCAGACTGGAAAGGGAAATGAATTTACATATATTTACATATATGTAAAATATCCTAATGTTGGAGCGGGAAGGCGTTTGTGAGCCCTCACCCCTAAGTGAAGAGCTACGGACAGTTGACGGCATCTCAGGGAGGGACAGTTGGGTTTATTTTAAAGATGTGGCTCCTGGTGGGTGGGCTATGCTTCAGCGGATGGCCGCACAGCCAGGAGCACGTGGACAGTGCAGATTGGAGTTGATAGGTTAGTAAAACAAAGCAGAACACAGGAAGTTGTGTGGAGATGGAGGTAGGGTGGATCCGGGAAGGGTTAGGGACAAGAGTTAGCATCTATCGCACTTGTTTTTCCAGGCCGTCTTAGGAACGTGTGATTGTTTCCGATCTTGCATTTCCTCTACTGCTCCTTGGTTAGTAAAGGAACGCAGGTGAGGAACATTTTACCGCTGTCTCCCACACTGAAACCGCTTGCTTCCCTCTTCCTCAGGAGACACCAGCAGTCAGACAGAAACATAATGAAAACCACCTGTGCTGGCCCAGTGACCTTGGCATCCCTGACTCAGGATTAGTGGTTCAGTTTTCATCAGCAATGCTTTTTTGTTTGCATCTTGTCTTCCAATTTTAGAATAAAACACATCCATTCTGAATCTAGTTAAAAATATCCTAGGCAGGTCTGGCTTTCAGATTTCAGAACAAGGCAGAGATGCTGGAGTCCTGGCCCAGATTCACTTGGTTTTCCTCCCTGCCATATGCACGTCCATCCTCAGTGTGGCCAGGCAAGGTGACAGAAATACCACCCTCCCCCAGGGCCTAGAGGGAGGTCAGGCTCACCCTGGCTCACCTCCTGAAGGTGTCATCATGTTGACACTGGACCTCGCTGCCCTGACAGAAGGAGGAAGGAGGCCTGAGGAGGAGATGATAGGTGCTTGCTCACATGAAGACGAAGGTGACTGGTGCTCACTGACCTTTCGTAGACGGTGTCTAGCTGTCTTCCACTTCTGCAGTTCGGTATCCTCTTCCCACCATGGCCTCACCATGGAGAGTCCTCCTCTGGAAAGGGCAGATCTCCTGGACCACAGCTCGACAAATAGGAAACTGTATCAGAGAAGGGAGAAAGAAAGAAAAGATAGGAGGAAAAAGCAGAGAAAACTGAAAAGGAACAAATTCTAAGAGGAGGAACAATACACAGGTTATAAAAGAGATCTGAAATAATAACAAATAATAACAAAGCAACATAAACAAAACTTAAAAGAAAGAAGAGTCAGCGACACCCTCCGGGGTGGTGCAATCACTGACAGGAAGTGAGAACTCAGGGTCTCGCACCTGCTCAGTGTGTAAGACGAGGACAGAGGCAGAAGGAATTTTTCCTTATTTTCCCATTTATTTATTGTTTGACACAATAAACTCAGAGTTTTGTTGTTGTTTGTTTGTTTTTTGTAACAGTGAAAGCTTTACCCTTCAAGGGAAGAAATCTTTAATAAATCCCGTGAAAAGAGGAGCTTGGCTAGAAACATCAAGATCTACAAAAGGGCCAGTAAGATGGCCCGGCTTGTAGGGCATTCGCACCCAAGCCCAGTGACCTGAGTTCAAACCCTGGAACCCGGGTACAAAGGGAAGGAGACAACATATTCCACAGAGTTGCCCTCTGGCCTCCACACATGTGCCATGGTATGTGCACTTCTGGGCATAGAACACACTTGTGAGCACACGCATACACACACACACACACACACACACACACACACACACAGTTTTAAAGGTCCACAGCAAACGTCATCATTGCCAGGTTTTGCTCAGCCCTGTTTCTACTGTTGCACATTTTATATGTCTACATTCTCCTTATTTTACTGTGACCTTCTATCTAACCTGCCTATCTCACTCACATGGAGACCTTGCTTACCACTGGTGGAGAGCTCTCACAGGAACTCTCTTAGTACGGTAGTCCGTGTCCAAAATCCTGTGAAAGCATCTGAAGTCCTACCTACACTGGAGGCCTGCCTGTGTTTAATCCATACATATTTTATAGCCCCCAATACACACACACTCACACACACATAAGCATACACACTTAAATACACAAACACACACATATATACACACATGTACACTTTACACACACATACATATATACAAATGAATACATATATACACACATATATATACAATTACACACACACACACCTCCTAATCAGGCTGCCAAACCTTTATGAATCCTTTCTGTCTCTTCTTGAATATCAGGGAAACACAGTTTTTTCAAAAAGATACCACTTTGTCTCTAACAAGTGATAAACAATCTGCACATCATTGTGCGGTGACAGCTGTAGGGCTGTAAACGCCATGTGGAAAGTGTGTGACAAGCCAAAGAGCAGCCACCACCACAACTTCAGGGTGACATCCAAAGGAAGGAGTCATTCATTCATTCATTCAACATATAGTGGCCAATGTTTGGGTAAGTTAAAATAACCCAGGATGGCTAGGGTGTGGTACCCAAGTGAAGTGTTATGCTGTGGGATGTTAATGTATGTCCTGTGGGAGCCCTTCTTGGGTTCCTTGTGGCGTTACCCAGCAGGTTTGCATAGAGGATGATTAGGACCATGGGCCTGAGTGCAGGTGTCTGAGATGGTCTGTACTTGGCTGTGCTGGGGGATGGTCTGTATGTCAAGTTGCTCTGATTGGTCAATAAATAAAACCTGATTGGTCGTGGCTAGGCAGGAAGTGTAGGCGGGACTAACAGAGAGGAGAAATAAAAGAACAGGAAGGCAGAGAGAGACTCTGCAGCCGCCGCCATGACCAGCAGCATGTGAAGACGCCGGTAAGCCACCAGCCACGTGGCAGGGTATAGATGTATGGAAATGGACTAATTTAAGCTATAAGAACAGTTAACAGGAAGCCTGCCACGGCCATACAGTTTGTAAGCAATATAAGTCTCTGTGTTTACTTGGTTGGGTCTGAGCGGCTGTGGGACTGGCGGGTGACAGAGATTTGTCCTGACTGTGGGCAAGGCCGGAAAACTCTAGCTACAGTGTTAGGCGGAAACCCAAACGCAAACACACAGGCCTCAGTTCGGACATCAGACATCACACAAGAGTTCAGGCTTTTATCCTCTGTAAGTGTCAAGAAACAAATAAATGGAGCCGGGCGGTGGTGGCGTACACCTTTAATCCCAGCACTCGGAGGCAGAGGCAGGCGGATCTTTGTGAGCTCAAGGCCAGCCTGGTCTACAGAGTGAGATCCAGGAAAGGCGCAAAGCTACACAGAGAAACCCTGTCTCGAAAAACCAAAATAAATAAATAAATAATGGATCATAGACGTGATGAGATGAGAGACTCATGTAGAGAACCTGCTGGTAGAAAGTCAAGCAGCTGAGGGAAGAGGCAGACAGTGGGTGACACCCTCAGGTAAGGGCACAAGAGCCTGAGCAGCACACAGCAGAGAAGTGACACCCACACTCTGTGCAAACTACACAGTAACACGCGCGTGACGGAGCCATGACTGGCAAGAGCCCAACCTCCACAGCCTGCAGGGACCTTGACAGCCCTGGTGCCAGACGCTGCCACAGCTGTCATGAAGGGGGCAGTCGTGCACAGAGGTCACGGCCTTGGGAACAACTCGTATGTTTCCTCTGGACAAACTGGACGCTCGGGAGATGAAATGGCTCATATGGGTGAGGACTGTGTTCGAACAGCCGGGCAAGCAGCTTCCTTTGTGTACATCTCATTCCCCTCAGAGTGCACAACGTGCCCACAGTACCAACCAGAGAGGCTCTCGGTGGGGAAATGCAGATTCCAAAGAAAGACCTCAAATGTGATAACAGATAAGCTACCTACACTGCGCAGAGGGGCTGGCGGGCTAGGGATTTTGCACGTTCGTACACATGTTAGAGACAATAGGAACACAGCTCTCCACGCAGACAGCCATTGCTTTCACTGTGATTTCTTCAGCTGCACTTCTATCGGAAGTATTGAATTTAAAGCGCTTCCTCATTGTGGCAAAGACATTTTAGAGTTGTCATTGGATAATTAAGATTTCTGCTTTCCAAACAAATTTGGTGTTTTCTGTGTTGGCCGACAGGATAAACACTAAAAACGGAAAAACAGTGAGGTGCGTGCTAAGTAGATAAAAATCTCCATTTTGTTTAAAAGTAACTGCACTAAATAACAAATGTTGTGTGGTTGGTTCTCCTCTTATGCTGACTTCTGCTCTGCGAGACCAAACAACCCTGGCTTTGCTCTGGCTGCTATAAAACTCATTGACATGGGTCTAGTCCAAAAGTCTAAAAAGCAAGCCCTTAAGATTTTCTTCTCCAGCCCATAGATCTCCTAAGTCACTTACTCTTCCCCAAGTGTAGTTACAGTTCTCCGTGTGTGTGTGTGTGTGTGTGTGTGTGTGTGTGTGTGTGTGTGTGTTCAAGTGTGTGCATGTGTGTGTGCCCATGTGTGTGCGAGCGTGCGTGTGTCCGTGTGTGTATATGCATGTGTGGGAGTATGTATGTGTCCATGGGTGTATG